GAAATTATTTTCCAGAGGTTTTTAGAAACTTAAAAACAGCCAAACGAGTTGCATTGTACACCTATGTGATGATTTCTGTCTAGTTGCACCTATTCCCTTTCCTTCCTCTTTCTTTTCTCAGGCCTTGTCTACACTACAGAGTTTTGTCAGCAACAGGCAGCTTTTGGCGACAAGACAGTGGAGGTGTACACACTGCAATGCGACTTTTGTCAACGAAACTCTGTAGTGTAGACAAGGCCTTATTCTCACCTGTGCTGATTAGGAGACTTCTGTCCCCTGCCCAAGTCTTATTTGAGATGTGGCTTCTGCAGCTTAGTCCTGTCTTTGTCAAGTGGCAGTGGTTTCTAGTACCACCATCCTTTGTTTCTGGCTGCTGTCAGAATGGCTTCCTAGGCCTCCCCCTTGAGCAATGCAAGTTTTGCACTGCCCACACCGACGCTATGTTGGCGGGACAGTGCTTCCACTTCTCACCGAGGCGGAGTAATTATGTTGACGGGAGAGTGCTGAAATGTAGACTTACCGTTTATCGGTGTATATTATACTGGCAGAGCACTCCTGTGGCTTGTCTGTACAGGATGATGTTGTGTGGCAAGCCAGGGTCTGAATTTACAGTGCACCAGCTTGTTGTGCAGTAACATCCCATGTGGATGCTGCTACAGCACACCCAAAAGTGCCAGAATGCATTTTCGCTGCTACTATTTGTAAAGTGTAGTAAGTCAAACTACATTCTGGGACTTAGGGTGCCGTAGCAGTGTCCACATGGGACATTAGTGTGGCAACCCCGTAGTGCTGGCAATTCTGAACACAGGTTACATCAGCAAAATTGTGTTATTGCTGGAATAGCAAATTCCAGCCACCTACACTCCCCCAAACAAAATAAGCTATAGCAGCAAAAGTGCAGTTTTGATGGGATAAACTGCTTCCACGCTAGGGGCTTTTGCAGACGTTCAGATGTGAAATGATGAGAACTCGAATGAGACTTTATCTACCGTCTCTGTGTGGACATAGAGGAAAGAGTGGATTTTAGAGAAGTGTAAGAAAAAATGCAAAGATTTAGAAATGGCCTGAATATACATGTCTACTGGGAGGGCCGAAATAAAGAGGACTCCTGGGCTATGGGCCTGAGTGATTGGGTGGATGGTGGTGTTGTCCATGATGGTAGATAAAAAGGGGAGAAGGGAGGGTTTGTGGGGAGAACATTAAGAGCTCAGTTTTGGCCATGTTGAGTTTAAGATGATGACTGGACATCCCCAAAGAGATGTTGAAAAGAGTTGTTGAGATACAAGGCTGGATGAAGGGAGATACCATCAGTAGAGATTGATTTGTGAATCCACAACATAGTGATGAGTTAAAGCCATGATTGTGGATAAGAGCAGGTATTAGTGTTACGATAAAGGAAGGACCCCAAAAAACAGGGCTGCAGGAGGTTACAGTAGCTGTGTGCCCCTGACCTTCTGCCTTGACCTCCTATGAAGCAGCCAGGAAGCTAGGAGATCAGTGAACCTTCTAATAATCTATAGGCCGTAGACACTAATGTCATATAAATAATAAGGGTTGGAGGAAACTCTTCAAGCCCTCTCAAAGGGGGTTTGTTTCCATGGAGGGGATGACTGCCAAGCAGAACCAATGATAGACATTCCTCCCATCCAGTTGGTAAATTGAGGCAGGCGGGAAGAGTTTGAAAATCCTCTTGCCATCCTCTGTAAGTATATGGAGCCCAGCTATATGGTTAGTAGGAGCGAGGAGGAACTTTAGTGAGAGATTCATTAAGCAAGGCTGCTGACTTTGTAAGGCACAAAAGAATAAAGATATAAGAAATGTTTTCAGACTTAAGTAAGTTTTGCTCTTGGGCTTTATTTGTTGAATTAAGTAGCTGTTGCAGAGAAATGTCCTTTGTGGACATAGAACCAGAAAGACAGCAGAATGAAAGGGGTCAGTTGGCACCATAATTAATACAACTCTTTTGGAAAGCTGAATCTTCACCCAGTGTTTCCAATGCTTTCAACCAACTAGTCTTGTGGAGGATGGAGAAAGAACTGCATGCTGGATGTTCCGTTCTTTCCCTTCCTTGCACCCAAACTTTTTTTCTGTTATGCCTCTTCTCCACCCTCACCCCCCCCTCCCAAATAATTATATAGTTGTCTAATTGTCCCTGAAGTTCAGGGAACTAAAACTGCAGCATAAGTCATCTTGATAAATGACGATATGTATTCATGCAATGAAATTAAAACAAGGCTGTTATTTTTTATAGTTCTTGAAGTGGTAAGACTACTCTGAATACAAGATGTGCTTGAAGAGGGAGTAATGCTGTGATACTGCAAAGCATGATGTGATGCAATTTTCCATGTCCATTGTTTCTGATGGAAGTCACTTATAAGTTCATATGTCTCCCGAAGATTATATTTGCTTGTATTAGAGGGTTACTAATGACTTTGAAGTAGAGGAATCTGAGCTGCAAATATAATACAAGAAACAGGTATGCTTATTATAAAGCAAAATACAGTAGTTCCTAGTTTTATCTGCCTTCCCTGTGCACTTTCAATAGGCTGATCTGTTACAGAACTGTTTGTGTGATGCACTCTCTCAACATAGCAATGTTAAGACTGTTAGAACATTTGAGATACAGTAAGACCATGTAAAAAGCAACAGAGGGTCCTGTGGCACCTTTAAGACTAACAGAAGTATTGGGAGCATAAGCTTTCGTGGGTAAGAACCTCACTTCTTCAGAGGCAAGTAAGACCATGTGTATGTTATGGGGACTGTAGCAATGCCATTATAAACTCGTTGTGTAGACAAAGCCTGCATGGATAGAAGGGGTTTTTCCATCATTGGAGGAACACTGCCTCCCTGAGAGGATGGTAGCTAGAGTTTAGCTAGGGGCATAACACTGGAGGTTAGATCAGCAGGGCTATGGTGCTCAGTGGTGTGGATTTTTCACATTGCTGAGTGCTCTACTGTAGCTATGTGAACCTAAATTTTAAGTGTAGACCAGGCCTAAAAGTGCTGGTGTTTGACTCTCTTCCAAAGGTGTAGGACAAATGGTGTGTGTATATAGCGTTTGTGAGAGGTGACTCCAGGCACTTTAGTAAAAGCTAAAATTTATATCTTCATTCTGGGCTTCCCGTTTGTTTCATATTTAACTCCCTTTCTTCTTGCTGCTATTGAAGCACCTTCTGTCTGGGAGGCTGAATGAGTCCTCAATAAGGCTACGTTTTAGTCACAGATATTTTTAGTAAAAGTCATGGACAGGTCACAGGCCGTAAACAAAAATTCACAGCCCATGACCTGTCCATGACTTTTAGTAAAAATACCCACCGTAACTAAAACTTGGGCTGGGGACTGCGGGTGCTCAGGGGGTGCCGTGGGTGTTGGGGAAGGTGACCCGGGATCCCTGCTGGTGCTGGGGGAGGGAGGGTTGGCGGGGCTGGCAGGGACTTCCTACCCGGCTCCACATCCCTGCAGCTCCTCCGCTGCTCCTGCCACAAGTGCCGGCTGCCACAGCTCCCATTGGAGCTGCAGGGGCGGGACCTGTGGGTGCTGGCAGCGCATGGTGAGGAGACCCCCCCCCACTGCCTAGGAGCTGCACCCCCCACATACTCCCAACCCCCTGCCCCTATCCCTGAGCCCCCTCCCACACTCCCAAACTACTGCTGGCCCAGGGGCCAGCCACTATAGAAGTCACGGGGGTCATGGAAAGTCATGGAATCCGTGACCTCTGTGACAGACTAGCAGCCTTAGTCAGCAAGGCAGCAATGAACTACAGTTCAAGTTGAGATGGCCTTGCCAATCTAAAGCAATTCTCAGAAATTTTACTTGAGCCACGTTCCATCATGCCTTGTTTTATCCTAAAGGTGACTTTATTTTTTTTTTTTTTAAGTTAAAGTTGTCTCAGTGGTTAGTCTTAATGAGAAATATTTAATATGGATCTTTTGGTGCTTGGATAATTCAAAAACAACTTGGTTTTAAGATTTCAAATTTACCATGCACTCAGTCCTCAGTAAGGTAGGTGGGTGAGGTTAGGTAGGTGAACTGCAGAGCGCAAAAAATAAAAAAATAAAAATCTTTGACTCTTCTTTGATGCATAAAGAACTCCATTTTTACTAAGCTTTCTTTCCTGCCTTTATTTTCTATTTTTAGAAATTCCAATTCTTTGCTTCCATGATTTTCTCTGTAGAACTTAGATTATGATATCACCAGCGACTGAAACCTGATCAGTACAGAGAGGAGAGGATGTTAAGTTTAGAACATTTTTTTGTTAAAACATGTTGAAGTATGTATTCCTGACAAGCAGCTAGAAGAAAATCTTTCTATGAAAGATGCAACCTATTTCCCCCCCTCAATTTGAGGGCTGGGAAAGCTGTAGCTCGGGTTTCAGCCTGTTGCAGTATTGCTGTCTCGTTCTAGTTTTCTTGACTTCCATATGGTTCTCTGGCAGGCTGGATAAAAATATTTTTAATTGATTTTTATTTACATATTTTCCTTTTAAAAATATACCTATTTAAAAATTAAATTTGAAATTATGACAACCTGTGTTAAGATCTAAACGTACCATCGCTTGTTAAAATAATTGAATTTAAATATTTAAGCAGTATATTTGCTGCCAAAGATTTGAAGAAAGTCAAATCATTTGATGAAAGTGCTAAATGAGCTTTGGCAGCAGTAGCCTCTTCTGCAAGTGCAGAGACACTGTTTTCTTCGATTCAGTTTATTCAGCTAGTCAGTTCAATAATTAATTCATTCAAAGTTGAGAAACCAATTGCAGGAAAGCTTGTTTTCCTCATCCAATCTATGAATAAAAATGAGGCCTGAGTGGATGAGATCTACTAGTTCTAAAGCCTTGAAAGGATGTGGTGGCCAGAAACAATAAGATCAGTTCATGAACTACAATTAATACTTCCTTTGTTTAATAAATTGATTATTTTTAAATGCAAAACATATTTGATAAATTTACTTTATTTTCTGGCGTATCCAGCACATTTAATTAATTATAAAAAACAAAATTTAAATGCTGTTTTTGTGAATTTACAATTGAATTCTAGTTTCCATCCAAATGTAGATTGACACAAACCATGAGTAAAAAAAATGAATCACCTGATAAATAAAAAATGCATCATTTACCATTTTCTAACATAATATATCTAAAAGTTAAGAATCTGATTAAATGTATGTTAGGTTATAGAACTGCTTAAATAAATGTGTGTAGATGCTATGTAGCCTTCTGGTTATCAGAAAGAAGCACCAAATTTAGTGTGCAGGATATATTTGGTTATAACATGTTTTAATGGTTACCAACCAGTGAAAATCAGCATTTATTTAGGGGAATAACTTAAAAAGTACAAATGAAAAACAAATTCAAATAGATTATTTAAATCAAGGTTTCCTGCTTGCTGATTAAAATTGTGATTGTACTTGGTGATTTAAAAGACCGATTTAAATCTGCTGCCCTCCTTCTGCAGCAAAATATAGAGAAGTCATAGATTTTTAAGGCCATAAGGGACTATAATTTATCATTTAGTCTGACCTCTTTGAATAGCATAGGCCATACTGAATGAAACTGTAATTCCTGCATCAAGCCCATAATTTCTTGGTGAGCTAGAGCATATCATTTCCGAAAGCCATACAAACTTGATTTAAAGACTTCAAGTGATGGAGAATCCACTACACCCCTTGATATCAAGACTTCGATATATCTAAGGTGAAAAACAAACAGCAAAAACAACCAACCTCATTTTTCAAGGGGTACATACCTTGAGGTCGTCTTGATACATAATAAAAGTGCCTTTAAAAATTGCATAATGATAATGATAAATGGAGATATCCCATCTCCTAGAACTGGAAGGGACCTTGAAAGGTCATCAAGTCCAGCCCCCTGCCTTCACTAGCAGGACCAAGTACTGATTTTGCCCTAGATCCCTAAGTGGCCCACTCAAGGATTGAGCTCACAACCCTGAGTTTAGCAGGCCAATGCTCAAACCACACCCATGCATAATGTCGATTTGCCTAATAATAGGTGGAAAAAGTCTCGGTAACCATTTAAACCTTGGCATCTCACTCCCAGCCTGGTTGTTGGCTATGGTAGTGGTCCCATCTGGTGTGTCTCCCTTCTTCCTTACAGGCTGTACTTTTTAAACTTCCGTGTTTCTCCCTTTGTTGGGGGTGCACATGGAGAGCATTTCTGTGCTTGTTTCCCCACCCTTTTGCTGCAAACATTGATGCTGTCTGTTTGATAGGAGTGCTCTTCAGCTGTGAAATCTTATAATTCTCTTTTGTTTTGCTGTTTTAGAATTGTGGAATGCTGTGAAGACTCTAAGTGCCCTGCAGCATTAGGCAGATTACTATCTGGATTATCTTCAGCACAACGAAATTCATATACAAGAGGTATCAGACCAATGGCTTACCCTCACCCTCAGATTGCACCATTGTAGACTAGACTCGTATATTAGATCCTTCTTCCTGCTTCCGCCATAGTGTTACCAAATTGTTAATATTTTAAAACCAGACACTCCTATTTTAAAACCAGACACTCCAGGAGGAGTGCTGGAACCTCCCCTGCTCTGCCTCTTCCCCCCGAGGCCTTGCCCCTGCCCCACCTCTTCCCCTGAGGCTCCGCCCCGTCCACTCCTCTTCCCTCCTCCCTCCGTCACTCACTGCATATCCCCTCCCAACCCCCCGGGTCAGGAGGGACTCGCCTGCTTTGCCAAGGCTGGGAGCTGCAGTTGCCCAACGCAGGTAGGAGGTGGCCTCAGCTGAGTAGGAGCTGGTGAAGATGATCACCCAGCTCCTCCCCTGCCCACAGTAACTGGACTTTGGGTGTCCGGTCAGTAGAGCTGACCGGACACTGTCAGGTCTCCTTTTCGACCAGACTTTCGAAAACTGGGCACCTGGCCACCCTGTCCCTCACCAACCTGAAAAATTAAAGGGATAGGCACTTAATAAATTTGTCCAGGAGCAGACTGTTTTTAAATTGCTAGTGTTTACTGCCCACCTGAATCTTATTTGTATTATATAGAACTGTATTACATTTAATATTGAACAGTTAGTCACAGAGTCAAGAAATGCGAAAGGTAAGAATCCAATAGCAGTGTTGTTTAACTCAGTTTCATCCTTTATGGTGCGTATTTTATGACAAAAAATGGTGCAATAGATTAAACTGTATTTTACTTTAAATCAGCAAATTGGAAATAGAACATGCTATGTATGTGTAACACAGTCGAGGTTAGCACTGCTATTAGAACCTTAATGTTTGCATTTCCTCATTTTGTGGTTTTAATTGGGAAGCCTTAGTGTTGTACTAACACAGAATTTAAACTTTGTTTTTGTTTTTTAAAAATAAAAATGGAAAAAAACCTACCCTTGCCCATGCTTACAAGTGGCAATGAGATGATCCCAGTAAGGCTTTGGGGTGAATGGTTTAGCAGCAGAGTTACTCCCCATTTATTTCTATCATGGTTTGCTGGCAAACAGTTTTCTGATGGCTTACATTGTAACAGCTTTTTCTTTTCAATAGAAAAAGACAAACTTATTTTTAAACGAAAGCTTTGCCAATAATGTAGAATGTAAATTGGTGCAGGGACTGTCCTTTTACTATTTGTTTGTATAGTGCCTAGCATGATGGGAGACCTGACCTGCTTAAGGCCTCTAGATACCAATAGATTATGCAGCGGAACCAAATGTGCCATTACTTAGGAATAGATGAAAATTACAGGCTTTTTGGAGGGGGGAGAGAGAGAGGATTCTGCCTGTTTGCTTCTCCTGCATTTTTTGCTGCATTCTATGTATTCTGACCTTTAACTTAAAAAACAAAAACAAAAAAACCAAACATTAGCTTCCAATATAGAGAGATAACAGCAGAAACATGTGTTCTGTTCCCCACTCAAACCAGCATTGTTCAACTCGACCTGGGTTTTGGCAATAGCAGCAGCAAAGGTGGCTACTCTGTACTCTTGCACTCCATTCACTTCGCTTTGCACATATATTAAGCACATTAAATTATTAAGCACAGGCAATTTTTTTAAAAAAAAAGGGAAATTAAGTGCAAAAACCAATGTGAATATGTAACCCACACACCTTCTGGGTGTGGTGTTCTGTCCCATCTAGTGGCATGGAGACCACTTAGAGAGAGAGAGAGAGAAAATGAGTCTTCTCTACAGCCTTAGCTAAGAGCCAGTTGGCTTTTAGCTCATGCAGTAGAGCAGGGGTCGGCAACCTTTCAGAAGTGGTGTGCCGAGTCTTCATTTATTCACTCGAATTTAAGGTGTCGCGTGCCGGTAATACATGTTAACGTTTTTAGAATGTCTCTTTCTATAAGTCTATAATATATAACTAAACTATTGTTGTATTTAAAGTAAATAAGGTTTTTAAAATGTTTAAGAAGCTTCATTTAAAATTAAATTAAAATGCAGAGCCCCCCGGACGGGTGGCCAGGACCCACGCAGTGTGAGTGCCACTGAAAATCAGCTCGCGTGCTGCCTTTGGCACGCGTGCCATAGGTTGCCTACCCCTGCAGTAAAGGCTCATGCACTAAGCTTCAAAGGTCCCAGGTTAAATCCAGTCTGCTGATGACCAGGGTCTGTCGGCGTTACAAATGCAATGTAAATGTCACACAGTCATCATAAAATGTCAGGAAATGCAAAAGTAAATGGTATTTCTAGAGCCAAATCATGTATATTTTATGGTATACATGTAACAAAAAAAAGTGTAGTTATCTCCACATTTAACAAGAATCACATCACCTTATCAAGAAACAAAAATCTTTCTTCCAGGCCCTTCTTCTCACACATCTCAACTACTACATTTCTTCCTCTCCAGCTTTGATAAATTCCATGTTGCCCCTCTTGTATCCATTTTAAAATGCTATTGCAAAGATCATATTCCTGGCTCATTGCTTCAACAATAATCTCTTTGCATCCTCTGATGGTACCTACTTCTCCATTGCATCAAACACAGACTACTTGCCTTCACTCCCAAGGCTCTTTGCCGCCTATCCCTGACATGCCTATCATCGGTTGTATTGTATTAAGATGCCGACCTCCACCACCGTGCAGCCAGTGATTCAAGTCTTTTTTTCCTATTTGTGAATTTTCAGACCTATTGTGCTTTCTTCTATCTTTTCTCATGCATGGCAGTAGCTCCCCATAAACATCTGCAAAGCCACTTCATTGTCCTCCTTCAAAGCTCTCCTTAAAATGCTCCTCTGCCACGATACGTACAAAAACTGTGAGAATTATTAGGCAGTGGGTGTGCTCAGACCACTGCTTTTCTTACTGACCAACATTATCTCATTGTTACCTTGTGCTCCCACCTGTTTGTAGTACCCAACTGTTGAGTCATATTGTATGCTTCAGTTGTAAATTTTTCAGGGTAGGGTCTATCTCTTTGTTATGTGTTTGTGCAGTGCTTTCCACAACGTGGTCCTGATTTGACCGAGACTTTAGGTATTACCACAATACAAACAATAATAGCATTAACATTGCTATGGCCATCTTCGTGTGTGCATTTCCAGTTTAACTATGCAACCTTAATGTAGATTTTAATTCTATTTTGAATATACGTTTTATGAAAAACGTTACAAAATGAAGTTGTAGTGAAATGTGCTTACTAAAATTATTTGTTCTTTGTGGTCTTGGCTTTGAGTCATCTCTGATCATTACCTCAGCCTTGTCCTGGCATAAACTCCTTTGGTAAATCAATTTTAATGAAGGATTTTAGTTCTTGGCCCGCTAGAATTTAGAGTAAATTATTGCTGGGAAATAAAGATACACTACTACTAGTTTACTATTCTGAAGTTTTCAACCCAGTGAGTAAGAATGACTGTTGCTTTACTCCTGAGTAGACTGACTGGATAGCTGAGGATTACAACCTTGCATGAGTACCATTGCCTAGTCGGCTGTGTGTAGGTCATGTTACCCTAAGACATTGTTTTGTATTTCAAAGAATCTTGAAAAATTTCACATGTTAACAAAGTGAAAGCACAGTTTAAAAAATACCACTTTTAAGCGGGTTATTAGAGTTGGTTGTTGGGAAAGGAACACTAATGGTTTGAGCCTTTTCTTGGGCAGTACTTTAGACCTGAATGAGATCTGAAAGTTCCTTAAAATATTGTTTCCAGCCATTCGCTTCAGAGTTAATTGGGATTTTTTTGGATCAAAGCTACTAAGCAGGAAATAAACAAAATGGTTTTCAAATAATTGTTTTTTATATCAATTGTCACAAAAAAAATCCATGTATATTTAAAAATCCGTCTTGTCTTTGTCAGTGATTTAATAAACATTTCTAGTGATTTTTTACACTATATTATTCTTATGCAATGTGTGTGGATGCAATTTGGCGTATGGTTACAGGGCTTTGTTTAAACTCAAACTCTTTGGTCTGCACTTCAAAATGCACAGGAGATTTATGAGCTTAATTCTCATGAACACTAACAGTGATTCTTCTTCGAGTGCTTGTTCGTGTAATTTCCAGTCAGGTGTGTGTGTGCCGCGTGCACAGTCACTGGAAAGTTTTCCCTTAGCAGCTCCCATCGGGTCGGCTATGGAGCCCCCTGGAGTGGCGCCTTCATGGCACTCAATATATGACCCAACCGACCCGGCCCCTTCTCAGTTCCTTCTGACCACCAGTGACCGTCGGTGGAATTGCGATCACTTGCCTAGCGTTCTTTCATATAGTTAGCTTAGCCTAGTTTCATTGTAGTTAGTCTTAGTTGTTAGTGTATATATAGTGAGGTTTGGGAACAGGGTTTCCCCAATCCTAAGCCGCCGCTCCCTTGGGCTCTGGGGTATGCTGTGAGCCCAAGGCTTTAAACCCTGTGGAATCTGAAGCAAGCATATGCCAACGAGCGACGCCCATGACTTGTCTGGGGGAGGCGCACCAGACAGGTGCAAGATCTGCAGGGCTTTCCGCCCCAGAACTAAAAAGGAGCAAGATTTCCAATTGAAGCAGTTGCTCATGGAATCCGCCCTTTGTCCCCAGTCTGCTGCGGACCACCAGAACCCCGCACGAAGCGCGTCCATACGGAGTGCCCTGACATTGGTACGTGACACGGTGCCAACGAAGAACTCTAGTTTAAAAGACCCTCGGCACTGGCGCCTCTCCAGCACTGCATGATGCACAGACGACTCGGCGCCGCTTGCATTCACCAGTGCCGTACAAGCGGCATAGAAAGCCAGCAGGGGACACTCCCCAGCGCAAAAAGCAGCGGGACCTGCAGGTGCTGTACCAGTGCATTCCGTGAAGGAGCACTCGGCGTCCAAGCACCAAGAGTCAGCGCCGTCAACTTCAGTTCCCACGGGGGGACGATCGAGTCCAGCGCACAGCGACTCCCAGGATGGGCAGTGCCAGGTGGAGGAGTTGGGTTTACCTCCACCATGGACACTTTTGAA